GTATCCGTATCGAGGGGGCGCTTATGATTTATTGCCAGTCGTTAACGTCTTGAATGCGCAGCGATTGCTATTTTGACCAAATGATTTCATGTAGTACCATAGAGACCATCGCTATCTGGAGACACACCATGTAATAATGAAACATGCCCTTCACCCATCCTCTTCTCCAGATCCAGATCAAGATCAAGATCGCCACCATCATGGACACGAGCCAGATCGACACATTGGCGGAGTGCGCCTTGGATTGCTTCTTAAATGGTCGGTACTACGACTCCGTTTCTTGCACGGCCGTAATGGTCTACATGAGAGAGCAACTGAGCAGCCACGAGCGCCATGTGATGAACGACATCTTTTTGGGTATCATCAATAAATTCATTAACGCGAACACAGAATTGGAGAAGCGGTTGGAGGATGAACGCCAGGCCCTGCAGCAGATAAGCGAACCGACTGAGGAGCAAAAACAAGTTGTGGAGGCCGCCAAGGCCGCCGTCAATACCCTGTTAGGGCATTTAACGGGGTACGTCCAGGATATGGTGTCCATCACAGTTCAGGCACTAAACTCTTTCAACACTGATGACCACGAGCCAAAAGCGTACCTTTACCGCTTGATGGGCGAGTGCCTGGGGAACACGTGCCACTTGGTGAACGCCGATGATGTCAACCATGATGAGATCAATACGGTGGCCTCCCTTGCCTATCTCCAAGGGATGGTGCACGGCTTCAATCTACCTCCGGCCGACCCCTCCCACCTGGATAACATCACCTCCTATTGCATATTTGCGGTGCGCAATTTGCGGAGCCTCGATGAGGCCATTGCTCTGGGGTCTTATGTCATGTTCACCTGCCCAGAGGAGAGGATCCTTGAGTCCAGAGACGTGCAGACCACAAGACACTGCCTCCACTTACTTCAAATGTGTCTGGATGTGTGGACTACCGTAAGGGACCTCATGAATAGCGACAGCAACACCAATGAAGATGCTGGTAAACAACTGATGAGACAATGGACAGAACTTGTTTGTTTCTGATTTGTGAGATATTTTTTTCAGCCTCTGAAGCCCCGAATGCAACTGCATAAGCCCATGGATCAGTATCACCCTTCATTCACTCCGGACACAGCACAGCAGGACTCCTCCTACACACACAAACTATACACATTTTGAGTAAGTTTTCCAGTTATCTTTTAATGGAACCAGACGCCTATCCCCTATCATTCCTCGTTTCTTGGCAGCCTAAACCTAAAACACAACCAATGTTGCAAGAACTGAAGAACTCTTCAGGTTCCAATGCAAGTCATTTGAGAGTACAAAGAACAGAACACATAACTGATGGAATTAAACCTAAAGAACAGGACGATCAGGACATATCAACCAAGGGACAACAATTGTCAGCTCACTTCTCAGTATGATTGCCTAA